ACCCAAACCATTTTATGATTCTGGCACTCTCTGTGTGTGCACGCTGTCCTGCTGCCCCACGTGGCTCCCTGCTCACCATCTCCTTCCCCCAAAACTCTGCCCTAACAGTGAGCTGCCTTGAGCCCATCACTCTGGAGGAGATGCACCATCTCTCCTGTGCTCTGCTGGCTGCACACTGGGGCTTTCAGCTGATTTTGAACAGTAGGAAACGCGGCCCCATCCCAAATAAATCGAGCAAGAAGTTCCCCTAAATGCCAGTTGTACTGTAGTGAGCCTCAGATTTCTGGCAGTGCAGTGAGCAGCATGCAATAAATGCACGGTGCATTTTCCCTGTGTGCTGGAATAGGGTCTCTCATGCTCTCCCACAGGACTGTGTTTAGGCAGAGTAAAATCCCTTGTGCCCCTGCAGTGCTGGGGTGGGTGTTGATGTGCAGACATAGGTGAGGATAATGTGCACTTGGGAAATTATCTGTCACAAGCAGCTGGTGCTGAACGTGGCCTGTGCTCTATGCCTGGTTGGTTTCAGCACCAGTTGTGAGAGGAGATGTTTCCTGGCTCTGTGTGCACTGATATCATGCACCAAACCTGTTTTTATGGGGTTTTTGTTGTTAGCAAACGTTGTATTTCATGAGGTTTTGCCTTGCAGAGAAGTTCAGTCATGCTGTGATGAACTCAGGGCCACTCATGTCTGCCAGGGCACAGATCTCTCTCCTGCTGCAGTTTTGGTCACCTCTCTAGTGTTTTGGGATCTGCAGTTTGGCCACTCACACTCCGTTTTGCATTCCTCCAGTGACTGCAAACTCAGCCCATCCAAATTCCTCATCCTTTAAATCCAGGAACATTTTCTGCCTTTCCCTCCTCGTTTCCCATTCCGTGTGTTCTGCTCCACTGCTCCTTCTTGTGCCTTTATAAAGCTGTATATTGGCAGAGCATATTTGGTCAGGGCTTTATAAAACATTTATTCAGTGTACAAAATTACAGGCAGGAGACCTTTCAATTCTGCATTTTGAGGTTGTGAGGGGAAGGCTGCTGGTTCCTGCTGCCCTTTCCAAAGGGATTGTGTGAGATTCCTTCCCCCTCTGTGGCTCTCAGGCATCCAAAAGCTGCAGGACATGGTTGTTATGGGAAGATATATTGTCTGTAAATGTCTTCATATCTGAACTGACTGAGGCTCTGGTGGATAAATTGTTTGGGTGGCTGGTAATAATAAGATTTATAACACACAAGTCAGTGAATTGTACTTTTTTTGGACAAGATTGAAACTTCCTCAGTCCCCAGCTGAATTTCAGGAATAAGAGTACATAACCATGTGGATTTCCATCCAAGTTTTTCACATGTATCAAGGACGTATAGTCATTCAACTAAGAAAGCTGTAGCAAGGTTAGGAAGTAGTTCTGCTCATGAGTGTCTTGCATATTGGAGATCTGATTTAGGAGCTTTCCTGCCAGTGTGGTTTCCTCAGGGACACACTGGAGTGGGGCATGGATGCACATGGCATTTGTGTTCCTTGCTGAGAAGCTAAGGAATTAGGGCATTGATTAGGTGAGTTTTGTCCTGTCTCATGGCAAAGTTTTGCTGTGCACACACATGTTGTAGTTGAAAAAGCCTTTGAGAACATGTTGCTAATAATAACAACTAACTTTTCATCTGCAGGATCATTCCCAAAATAGGGGTGAGGTGTCTGTTCCGATTGCTCTGGTCAAAAAAACCTGTGCAGGGGTAACATAGACTTGCCCGTGGAGAGATCTGTTCAGTGAGAAGAGGATGGACTGCAGCATCTTGAAGCTAGGTCTCATCCCACTTAGCTTCTCCAATAAATGTCTCCAACTTTCCTTTAGTAGCAATTAGGAGTTTCCCTGAAGCAGAATTTGTTCTTGGACCTTTATCTTGAAATGCTAAGGAAAGAGTTTCAAGTTCTCCAAATCTGCATCACTTCCATGTGTTCCTTCTTTCAACTCTCCTCCCTCCCTGCACCACTGGCTCCTCTTTTGTTTATGCTTTGGGTTAAATGTGTGTTTGTCTCCTTTGCTGCAGAAGGTTAGTTCATCCTGCATTGCCCTCAGCAAAGGCAGCTGTGGGGAACTTGGAGTTTTGGAATTAGCTTTTCAACTCTCTGGTGCCAAAACCACATCATGGACTAGGAACAATAAATGAAGTCAATCTGCTCCAAGGACTCAGTGAGCCACACAAAACTTGGGTGGACTAACAAGCAGCTTTGTTACGTGATTGTTCCAAATATAAACTACTTAACTTCGTGTTTTTTGAATCCTTAGAGGAGAAAAAAAATGACCTATTTGTGTATTTGCTGTAGCACATACATTAATGAGTTATGTCAGAGCGGGGAAGAACAGTTTAGGAAGTAACAGAGGAATTTGGGGCCCAGGGCTGGAATATAGTAGCCAAAATTGAACCTTCTAGAACAGTCCCAGCTCTGTTCCCTGCAGAGTTTGTATCTCAACATGAAGTTGGCTGCACAGTTCCTAATAAGAGGAGAAATAACAAAAGTGACTTGTTTCCACTTTGCTGGTGTTGAACAGTTGAATAAATAATGTGTTGTTGGGCATTTGCCACCATGAAGTGCAGAGTCTGAATTCCTAGGCATTAAGATAATCTAAATCACAGTCTGGAATGAAAGAAAAAATGGTTGGAATAGGGGAATTTTGCTCCTCTGAAGGTGTTGAGGGAAACAAGGTGGGTGGTAAATGGAATTTAACTACAACTAGGCATTTTCTGCTCTGAAGATTGTAATCTACACACAGTTGGTATGCAAGAACACTCCTTTCATGGGCCACCATGAATGCTTGTGGTGTTTGCCAATAAAGTGTGGGAATTTACTACAGGGAACTCTTCCTGCAGCAAGATGGGTCAGGGTTCATCATTAGCTTGGCTCATTTGTTGTTCACCACAAGACAGCCACAGCTCCTCGGGTGTGAGAGTTTGCAGGTATGTTGGCTGAAAACTTTGCAGGCTGCAGATTGCTTGGGTGCTTCAGGAACCTGAGCATCTGATTTTACCTTGCAGGTGCTTTTAGAACTGATCAATCACAACAGCAAATGCCAAGGCACAACAAGCACCAAGTCCACTCTGTAGCCAGATGTTTGGGACAGAAGAAGTTATGGTTAATGATACAGTTTGTGCATGTGTGTGAAAACCCAACAGGAATTTGAATTCCCCCAAATCTGATCTCATCTAAACCAGTCTTACCTCTTCTGTAGCAGATGGAGGGACAGTCACTAGGTCCTGGCTTTGCAGATTTGATGACCTACATTACAGTATCAATACTGTACGTGGCAAAGAATGAAACTGTTAAGGATCCTGTGCTCTGTCTCAGGTGTGAGTGGGTCAGATTCTCTTTGACTTGTGTTCATGTCTTCAACTGGAACTGCTAAATCTTAACACAAATCATTCCAAATCAAAGAACACAGCAGTGTGTGTTCTACAGGTGCAAAATTCCAGACCGGCCAGGTAAAGATGCCACAGATATTCCTTATTTTGACCCCTTCATTTGCACATTTCCTACTCACAGAGCAGCACCTTCCTACAGGTGTACCCTGAGGTATCTGAGTTGTGGGGCAGTAAATTAATTCCCTGTAGATAAGGGAAACAAGGGGTAAATAACACTGCTGTCAGCCCGGAGCTGGTGTTTGCTTGGTGTTTCCCAAGTGCCTGAACTCTTCATGCTACACATGTACACTTCCTCCCAGACACCCTGAGAGCTCCATACAGCTTATTCTGTAATTTACCTGTTTTATCATTTACCTATTTCTTGCAGTCTAATGTGCTCCATGGCAGCTTGAGAAGCCAGGAATTGGATTGATGATGCCTTCCAGCTCAGGATATTCTGTGATAAACCCCTGCCAGTTGCATATCATTTTATTCTTGATCTCCAATGTCAAATCAACAATTGATTCCTTCTGATTTCTTTTATCACTTGTCAATTATATGAGCTAATCTGGCAGTAGTAACCCCAATACAGCAATATCTGCTCCTTCCAGAGCCACAGGACTTTAATCTTCTTCAGAATTTATTTAGACTTCCTTCAGTGCTTCTGAAATATTATTTTAGGCACTCCTCCTGCAAGTGGAATTCCAGGGAAATGATGAGGAATTCGTCATTCCTCTCATTGGTTCAGAACAGCCAAATAGTGAGGGAATTAATAGCAGTCAGAGCAGAGCTGAGTCATGTCTAACAGCACTTGTCTTGTGCAAGTGCCTGACACCCTTCAGAATAACTTGTGAGTAAGAGTTGGAGACTGAAGTCAAACCCAGGCAAAAGGGTACAAACATGCCCTGAACACTTGCCAAGTAGTAGCTGTGTCCACAAGTGACTCTTCAGTGTCAGCATTTCCCCCAGGAATTGCAGATGTAGAAAGCAGAAGCATCTTTATTTGGCATTATGGTTTTCCTTCAAACCTGCCAAGCTCAGCTCTCACCAGCTGTTTAAAGGGAAGAGGTGGATTTTCACCTCATCAGGTATTAGCTGGTGAGCAAGGCAGACACAAAATACAGCCCCTGCCTGTCTGAGATGGGTTTATTCTGCAGCATTGCTGCTTCTAATTAATCTGCCAGGACAAGCTGGGTGTGAAGCTTTGAAGATGTGATTTTTTCCCCCCCCTCCAGCAAGGTGGATTAAGTGACTGAGCTGCATCAGTAAATAGGCCCTTGTTTGATCAGAGTGGAAGGAAGGGTCTGGAGAATCCCTGCTGGATGGCTAATGCTGCAGGCTGAGGTTGCTGGTTTAATCTCCATTTAATTAGAGGGAACAGCATTAATGAAAACA